ACTTTTTTTCTCAAGAAAAGTGAAAAGATTTTTTTTAAGTTTTATTGAAGTATAGTTGATTTAAGATTGTTTTAAAGTTCCAAAAGAATATTAAATACAGAAAAATAGAAATGATTTTCTAAAGAATCCAAAGCCCCTTTATCTGAATCCAACCACTGTTAGTATTTTGTTATTTTTACTTCCAGTCTTATTTCTGTGCAAAACTTTATTTATTGAAAAAGAAAAACAAAACAAATAGGAACAGAAAAAGCTCAACACATATAGAACATTTTTCTCATCTGTTAGTTTCACTTAGCATTGGGGTCAGAGGCATTTTCTCATGGCATTATAACTTCTCTAAATTTTTTTTAACATCTTTATTGAAATACAATTGCTTTACAATGGTGTGTTAGTTTCTGCTTTATAACAAAGTGAATCAGCTATACATATACATATATCCCCATATCTCCTCCCTTTTGCATCTCCCTCCCACACTCCCTGTCCCACCCCTCTAGGCGGTCACAAAGCACCAAGCTGATCTGCCTGTGCCATGTGGCTGCTTCTGTTGTACAGCAAAGTGACATCTTTTTCGTATTCTTTTCCATTCTGGTTTATCACAGGATAATGAATGTAGTTCCTTGTGCTATATACAGTAGGACCTTGTTTATCCATTCTGTATGTGATAGTATGCATATGCTAATCCCAAACTCCCAATCCTTCCCTCCCCGACCCCCACCCCTTACTAACAACCACAAGTCTGTTCTCTACGTCTGTGAGTCTGTTTCTGTTCCGTAGATATGTTCATTTGTGGTTTTTTTTTTTTTCTTTCTTTTTTGGCCACACCACACAGCATGTGGGATCTTATTTCCCTCACCAGGGATCGAACCCGTGCCCCCTGCAGTGGAAGCACAGATTCTTAACCACTGGACCGCCAGGGAAGTCCTGTGTTGTATTTTAGATTCCACATGTAAGTGATATCATATGGTCCTTGTCTTTTTCTAAGTTACTTCGCTTAGTACGGTAATCTCTAGGTGCATCTATGTTGCTGCAAGTGGCACTATTTCATTCTTTTTTATGGATAATATTCCATTGTGTGTCTTGGCAATTGTAAATAGTGCTGCTATAGGGGGTGCATGTATCTTTTTAAATTATAGTTTTGTTTGGGTGTATGTCCAGTAGTGGGATTGCTGGATCACATGGCAACTCTATTTTTAGTTTTTTGAGGAACCTTCATACTGTTTCCCATAGTGGCTGCACCAATTTCTGTTCCCACCAACAGTGTAAGAGGGTTCTCTTTTTTCCACCCTCTCTCCAAAATTTATTATTTGTAGACTTTTTTTCTTTTTCTTTTTTCTAGCCGCACTGTGCGATATGTGGGATCTTAGTTTCCCAACCAGGGATCGAACCTGTGCTGCCTGCAGTGGAAGCACGGAGTCTTAACCACTGGACCATCAGGAAAGTGCCCTTGTAAACTTTTTAATGATGGCCATTCTGACTGGTGTGAGGTGGTACCTCATTGTATGTTTTTCTTTATGTATAATTAATTTTTATTGCAGTATGGTTGATTTACTGTAGTTTTGATTTGCATTTCTTTAATAATTAGCAATGATGAGCATCTTTTCATATGCCTATTGGCCATCTGTATGTCTTCTTTGGAGAAATGTCTATTTAGGTCTTCTGCCCATTTTTCAATTGGGTTGTTTGGTTTTTTGTTATGGAGTTGTATGAGCTGTTTGTATATTTTGGAAATTAATCCCTTGTTGGTTGCATCATTTGCAGATATTTTCCCCCAGTACATAGGTTGTCTTTTCGTTTTGTTTATGGTTTCCTTTGTACAGAAGCTTGTAAGTTTGATTAGGTCCCATTTGTTTATTTTTGCTTTTATTTCTGTTGCCTTGGGAGACTGACCTAAGAAAACATTGGTACAATTTATGTCAGAGAATGTTTTGCCTATGTTCTCTTCTAGGAGTTTTATGGTGTCATGTCTTATATTTAAGTCTTAAGCCATTTTGAGGTTTCTTTTGAGTATGGTGTGAGGGTGTGTTCTAACTTCATTGATTTACACGTGGCTGTATAACTTTTCCAACACCACTTGCTGAAGATACTGTGTTTTCCCCATTGTATGTTCTTGCCTCCTTTGTCAAAGATTAATTATCTATAGGTGTGTGGGTTTATTTCTGGGCTCTCTATTCTGTTCCATCTGTTTTTGTGCCAATACCACGCTGGTATCTTTTTTTTTTTTTTAATTTTTTGGCCATACTGCACAGATTGTGGGATCTTAGTTCCCTAACCAGGGACTGAACCCTCGCCCCCTGCAGTGGAAGCATGGAGTCTTAACCACTGGACCACCAGGGAAGTCCAATACCACACTGTTTTGATTACCATAGCTTTGTAGTATTGTCTGAAGTCTGGGAAGGCAATGCTTCCTACTTTGTTCTTTTTCCTAAGGATTGCTTTGGCAATTCTGGGTCTTTTATGCTTCCATATACATTTTAGGATTATTTGTTCTAGTTCTGTGAAAAATGTCATGGGTAATTTGATAGGGATCGCATTAAATCTGTAGATTGCTTTGGGTAGTAAGGCCAGAAAAATGAAAGTTTTTAAGGAAACTTTAGTTTATCCTAGAGTAGCCATTTGTGGAAAAAATTAAATTGGATCCTTTCTTCATTTATTACAGCAAAATTAATTCCAGGCGACTGAAAGATTTAAATATAAGAGTACTAGAAGAAGACACGAGATTTAAAAACATACTTACCAGGGGAATTCCCTGGCAATCCAGTGGTTAGGACTCTGCGCTTTCACTACCAAGGGCGCGGGTTCCATCCCTGGTCAGGGAACTAAGATCCTGCAAGTTGCACAGTGTGGCTGTAAGTAAGTAAGTAAGTAAGTAAATAAATAAATACTTATCAGAGTGGGGAAAAATAATAAAAATGTAACTACATAGAATATTTGCATGGCAAAAAAAGAACAAATGGGAGAGGGAGGATGATGTTTGCAACAGTACAAGAGTTGATTTCCTTGAACTTTTAGAACTTGGCCATTAAGCAGATAGGGCCGGGCTTCCCTGGTGGCGCAGTGGTTGAGAGTCCGCCTGCCGATGCAGGGGACACGGGTTCGTGCCCCGGTTCGGGAAGATCCCACATGCCGTGTAGCGGCTAGGCCCGTGAGCCATGGCCGCTGAGCCTGTGCTCCACAACGGGAGAGGCCACAACAGTGAGAAGCCCGCTTACCGCAAAAAAAAAAAAAAAAAAAAAAAAAAAAAGAAGATAGGGCCTCAGAAAAATAGGCAAAGTGTATAAATAGCTCCAGAGAAGCAAAAAATAAATGACTAATAAAGCATGAAGAGATGTTTAACCTTATTCATAAGGAAATGCAAATTAAGTTTGGTAAGCACTTGCCAGGGTGTGGGGGAAATGGGCTCTCAGACATGGTGTGAGTGTCAATTGATGAACCTCATAGAGGGCAACTTGACTGGGCAATTCTACTCCTGGGTGTTTATCCTATAGATTTGGTTACAAATATGTATGAAATGCATTTCATACAGGGATATTCCTTTCAGTGTTGTTTGCCGTAGCAAAATGTTGGATACTATCAAGGTTCTGGCTAAATATACCCATGGAACGTCCGCCCTGCAATGAAAGACTGGAGAATGAGACAACTCCAAGTGCATTGATACAGAACATTCCTCAATATATAAATGAGAAAACAAACTGCAGAACAGTGGATTCCATTGTATCTTATTATACATATATATATGTGTATATATGTATATGTATATATGTATTATCAAGTGCGCACAAACACACACACTTGAGGGAGTTCCCTGGCAGTCCAGTGGTTAAGACTGCACTTCCACTGCAGGGGGCACGGGTTCGATCCCTGGTCAGGGAACTAAGATCCCAGATGCCACATGGCGCGGCCAAAAAACCCCAACAAAACATACACTTGAGCATGCATAGAATATTTTATGAAGGACACATGAGAAACTGATAATAGTGGTTGTCTCAAGGAAGGACCCAGGTTGCTGGGGAATAGGGGTGGTACCCTTTGGTACCTTATGAATATTGTACTGTATGCATTTTTTATTAGCCAAAATAATTTTAGGATTAGGCAAAACAAACAAACAAACCAAAAACAAAAAAACAAGAAAGGACTTCCCAGGTGGCGCAATGATTAGGAATCCGCCTGCCAATACAGGGCACACAGGTTTGATCCCTGGTCCGGGAAGATCCCACATGCTGCAGAACAACTAAGCCTGTGCGCTACAACTACTGAGCCCATGTGCTGCAACTACTGAAGCCTGTGCGCTCTAGGGCTCACGCGTCGCAGTGAAGCCCATGCACCTAGAGCCTGTGCTCCGCAACAAGAGAAGCCACCACAATGAGAAGCCCGTGCATCGCAACGAAGATTAGCCCCCACTTGCCGCAACTAGAGAAAGCCCGCGCGCAGCAGCAAAGACCCAACGCAGCCAAAATATACATAAAATTTAAAAATTAAAGAAAAAAACAAGAAAAATAAAAAGTGCATTCATTCAGCCAGACATGAACTCCCTCCTATGACAATTATGTATCACTTTCATGTCCTGTTTTCTGAGGTTTCTTTTCTCCACAATAAAACTGTGAGCTCTTCCAGGACAAGAACCTGCATAGCTGGGGGCTCAATAAATATTAAAAACTGACAAAAAGAACCCTCTGAGGTGTGCTATCTCTCCCATCGAATTCCTTCAAATTCTTCTCAGTACCTTCCCTGCCACAGAGTCATTCTATAGATTACATTTGGATGTTGAATCCAGACATCATGCCTGCTTATAGGTAACTTTAGCGGGACCAGTTGGGTAGGAGAGGTTGGGAGTATGTCTGCAGATCTAGCCTGGGATGGCTTGCTTGCCAGGTCATTTGGGGATGACGAACTCCTAACCTTTCTGATTCTATTCTCACTCACAAATCTGGGTTAAGGGAGGCGGTCTCTTTAAGAACCGTTGTGATGGTCCCGCCCTTTAAAGAGATCAGCTGAATCTGTGAGTCACATGATTTCAGCGTCTCTTCCGCCTTCTGAAGTTGGGACTGCGTGAGAAGCTATGAGGAGCGCCGTGCTCCTCCTGAGCCTACTTCTGACAGCAGCTCCGTTTGGCCTTATGGGGGAGGAGACCCGCCAGGTGAGGGGCTAGAGCAGTAGGTGTTTCAGGATATGCTACCTTGAAGGGTGGTTGGAATCTAGGGCAAACAATTGGTGGGGGGGGGGAGTGTGCTTGCATTGACAAAAGAGTTTTTCAAACTGGGGGTTGGAGCAGCCATGGGTCATGGGACAGGATTGTGGAGTAGGGTGGATGTGAGAGCTTCCTGTCTTCTGGTGAAACCTGGACCTTGACTTAGCCCTGAGTGAGCCAGGTCCAAACAAGTGTTGGATTTCTTTCTTCCTCTCAACCTTGTGCCCTGATCTCTCCACCAGGGTCAAGGCAGTTCTGGCTCTACCCACCTCTCCTCCACCCAACCTCTGCCCTTTACAAGAAGGTTCTGTTAGCTCCCACAAGCATTCCTCTTGCCTAGGCCCCCAAGGTCCCACCCTTTCCTCATCATTTTCCAAGGCCCCTCTCCTTATCCCCAAACTTCTTTGCTCTGTGTCTCTCCCTGATCCTGTTTGCTTGACCCTCCACTGCTCCATGTTCCAGGTGTCTCTGAAGGTCATCTCTGACTGGCTGGACCCTTCCCAGAACCTGCTTCATATCTGGGCAGTGGGTGCCACTTCCACCCTGCACTATGTGTGGAGCAGCCTGGGACCCCCAGCCGTGCTGCTGGTGGCCACCAACACCCCCAACAGCACCCTGAGTGTCAACTGGAGCCTCCTGATTTCCTCTGAGCCTGACGGGGGTCTCATGGTGCTCCCCAAGGAGAGCATTCAATTTTCTTCTGCCGTCGTCTTTACCAGGGTGAGGAGGTTGGGGGAGAACCAAGGGGAAGAGTGCAGAGGTGAGGGTTCATTCGAGTTAGAGGGAGAAACAAGACTGGGGGTAGGTGAAGTCGAGTCAGGTATGAGAGCCTGGGGTGGGGCCAGTGAACGGGTGGTGGTGGTGATTCAGGAGAAAGCTGGACTCAGGCAAGCCTAGTCCCTCCCCACCCCCACCCGCCAGCTGTTTGAGTTTGACAGCACCGACACAGCCGATGCAGCCGCAAAGCCTCCAGGAAAATCATATCCTCCATACTCCTTGGCCGATTTCTCCTGGGACAACATCACTGACTCACTGGATCCTGCCACCCTGAGCGCCACATTTCGAGGCCACCCCATTCACGACCCCACTGGGGCTTTTGCCAGTGGCAGCCTGGCCTTCAGGGTAAGGGTATGGGGAATCAGAACTCAAAAGGCTGGTTTACGAGGGTGGGAGTTAATGATGGGGGTTGCCTTCAAACACAGGCATCCACCTGCTTCCCACACCTCCCATGCCTCTTCCATCCTAGGTTCAGGCCTTCTCCGGATCTGGCCGACCAGCCCAACCCCCTCGCCTCCTGCACACAGCGGACACCTGCCAGCTAGAGGTGGACCTGGTTGGGGCCTCTCCCCGGGGAAACCACTCCTTGTTTGGGCTGGAAGTAGCCACGTTGGGCCATGGCCCTGACTGCCCCTCAGTGCAGGAGCAGCACTCCATCGATGATGAATATGCACCTGCCGTCTTCCAGGTCAGGCTTCCAGCAGAGAAGCAGATGGGTGTGGGGTGAAGGGGGACCCCATTAGGACCTCAGAGAATCATTCAACCATTTACCATTTAGCAACACTTCACTCAGCTCCTGTAAGTGCTGGGCACTGTGCTAATGAATTAGCCCAGTCTCTGCTCTCAGTGGAGGAGCCAGAGGGAAGGCAGTACAGTGTGACTAGTGCTCTGACAGATGGGATTTGCAAGGGCTCGGGGGCCCAAAGGAGGGAGCTGAGTGCAGGCTTGCTGAGTGTTGAGGCTGGAAAAGGACCCAGTGCCATCCACTCCAGCTCCCCTTTCTACAGAGGAGAGATCGATGCAAACAGCCTGTGAGTTCTAGAACCAGGCCTAGGATTCAGGACAACTCGTGACAGACAGAGGCTGGGAAAGGGTGGGGGAACAGAAAGGTCGGGCATCTTTCTGGTCCTCCTCATCCTGCCTGTTTGCCTTTCTCCCCAGTTGGACCAGCTGCTATGGGGCTCCCTCCCATCAGGCTTCATGCAGTGGCGACCAGTGGCTTTCTCTCAGAAGCAGGGGGGCCGGGAATCAGCCATGCCCTGCCAAGCTTCCCCTCTTTACCCCACCTTGGCATACCTTCTCCCCCAGTCACCCATTGTCCGAGCCTTCTTTGGGTCCCAGAACAACTTCTGTGCCTTCAATCTGACATTTGGGACTTCCACAGGCCCTGGCTACTGGGACAAACACTACCTCAGCTGGTGAGAGTCAGGGCCTGGGCCAAGGGTTTGGGAGGTCGAAGTGGAGGAGGGTTGGGCCTCTCGGCCTTCCCCGCTAAGCCTGCTCACCTCTCTTTCTCACTCTGCTCGCTCTAGGTCCATGCTCCTGGGTGTGGGCACCCCTCCAGTAGATGCCTTGTCCTCGCTAGTCCTAGGCATCATGGCAGTGGCCCTGGGTGCTCCAGCGCTCGTGCTGCTGGCAGGAGGCGTGTTTCTGCTGCTGGGCCACAAGCGGTACTCAGAATATCAGCCTATAAACTGAGGCCTGCTCTCTAGAGGGAAGGACATTACTGGAACTGCCTTGCTGGTCTGCAGGTTTGAGGGTCAGTATTCCTAGCCAGCTGCTCCCTTTTCGCATCTTGCTTTTCTGCAGAACCTCAGAGACCAGCCTCAACTTCCTGCGGACCCAGGTGGGGCTTCCTTCAAACTTTGAGGAGGGACCAGGGACAGAGTGATTGCTAGAGGGAGGGTCCCCTCCTCGTTGCCTCCCCGCCCCTCCACCCCCCCATTTCCCTTGAATGGGACTCACAGGCCTAAATGAGAGGCCTTCTGACTTGTCTGCTACACTGGAGGGCATGAAATAGACTAAGTTTTTCCCCAGGGCTTGTCTCCCAGTGTGTGAGTGTTGCTGGGTCTGGTTCCAGGGAATGAGAGGGCTGGAGGTGGGCATGGAAGGCAATTTCTTGTTTGTAGCGCCGTTTCTTCCCCAGGCCCAGTTCTCTCCCTTGCCATGGGACCAGGCTCCTGCCGGCCACTCTTCAACATGTGCAGCTGGGAGGTCCCTGGTGCAGTCTGAATCAAACAAGGAAGGGACACTTGAGACGAGGGCGCAAACACGAAGGAAGAGCCAAGGAAGACAGTGGTAGTTGTTTATTGTTACACACACATTCACATGGGGTTAACATCAACCACTATGTCTTCCCACCACTCCCAGCCACCACAGGTGTGGGTGTGTGCGCGCACGCACTCACGCACGCGCGCACACACACACACACACACACACACACACACACACACACACACGCCTCCTGGGAGGCAGGTTTCCCTGTCTGCTCCTCTTCCCATGAGAGAGGTATGACTTCTGGGCAGTATGGAGGTGCAAGGTTACAGGGACCTAAAGGGTTGGAAGGGAGGAGGCAGCCACACTGGATTGGGACAGCTGTAATTGACTTGACTGAGGCTCAAGGGCCTATATGGCCAGTCATGGAGGGTCCTGAATACAGGTCCCCAAGAAGGTTTTCACCAGACATGAACGTCCTATTTGATCTGATGGCCAGCCATTACCTTTAGGCATGGGCAAGGTTTCTAGTCTCTTTGAGGCCCTCTGCTTGGACACCCAGCACAGAAATGGTCAGAGTTTTGGCTGTGGCTCTGCTGGCTGCCTTACAGGAGGCTGGAGAGTGGAGCAGAGTCCAGCCATTGTGGGCCCTAGCGGCAGTGGTGGGAGGCTGCTCAGGAAGGAACCATGCCTCTGCTCCTGGTCCTGTGTCCTCAGCATCCTTAAGGAATATGGCTGTCCACCTCTTTCCCTGAAAGAATGTCTGAGTCCCTCCCGCCTAATTGTCCCAGGCTCCAAAGGTGAAGGGGAGTGCCCCAGCTCGGAGAGCAGGGGACAGTCCAGGCTCTGATTGGATGGGACCCCTGCCGGGGCAGTAGGTGGGTTCATCCCACCCAGGTACCAGGGCTGGGAGCAAGGGGGTGGGGCGGCTTAGCCCCAGGAGCGAGGCCTGTAGTCTGAGGCTGAGCGGGCGTGGTCAGGGTAGTCCAGGCGGCTCTCGGAGGCAGTGAGCATGCGTTCGGGCTCCACCACGAACATATAGTAGAGGTTCCACACCAGCATGGACAGCAGGGGCAGGAATGTCAGGCCGTAGCCAAAGCCTCGGAAGGAGCGGCCCACGGCAAAGGTCAGCCAGTATATCAGCCTGGGAGGCAAGAAAAGATCGGGCTTTCCTTGAGGGGAGTACATGAGCTAACTGGCAACAGGCTGATGATGGGGAGAATACAAAGTGAAGGCAGTAGCTGGGTGTTGGTCAGCACAACTGATACCTCTAAAGACAGCCAGTGTTTATGTACTAACCATGTGCCAGGCATGGTACCAATTACTTTAGGGGCAATGTTTAATTTAATTTAGACCCCCGCATCTCTATGAAGTGTGAATATTGTTCACCTCCCTCTTTGTGTACTTTTCAAATTTTAATTAAAAAATTTTGAGTAGGCAGTATACGTTTAGTTTACATGGTTCAAAATTCAAAGGTACCAGTGAGTATAGTAAAATGTCTTCCTTTACTGATTCCCAGATACCCTATTCTCGTCCTTCACCTTCTCACCTCTGTTCCACTCCCACCCCAGACATCCAGTATTATGGTTTCTTGTACATCGTGATGTTTATATGAGTGAAAAGATTTATGTTTTCCTTTTCTCTTTTTTTTTGGAAGTTTGGTAGCATACTAAATATGAGATTGTTCTGCACATTGATTTTTTCCCCTCATTTAATGTATCTTGGAGATTGTGTTATATTAGTATATAAACAGCTTCATTATTTCACAGCTGCAGTACATTCCATTGTATTTACTTCCCCTTTTGCAGATGAAGAAACTAGGATTCCAAAAGGGTTAAGTAAGACTGGTCCAAAGTCACACATTGGGGAAATAGTAAAACCATGGTTTGAACCCATGCCTGTTCATCACCCCGTCTCCTGCCCCTCAGGGAAGGGAGAGAGTAAGGAAACCAGCTTCAAGAGAGCTTGAAGCCCAGAGGGATGGACTAGGCACAACCAAATTTCCCCTCTTGGAAGATCCATTCAAAATACACACTCCTCAGTGGCGGGAGGGCAGCAGCTTCCTCTTAATATATGAAGGATCACTTATTACAAAATTGTGATGTCTCTATTTTTTTTTACCTGGGAAACGGAGGAAAGAGTAACTGCTGCTTTTCTACGGCACCAGGAGGCAGCATAGCATAATAATAATATGAAAGTTCACATTTAGTGAACACTTACCAAGTACTAGACTGTTGCAAGCACTCTACATGAATTAACTCACTTAATCTTCACAATAACTCCATTTTACAGATGATGAAACTGAGGCACAAAATACTTAAGTAACTTGCCCATGGTAGGGAAGAAGGACCCTGGATGAGAGAAGGAAGGGACCTGGGTTCTAGTCCTGCCTCTGCTGCTGACTGACCTATGCGAGTCTTCTCCCCCAATCTGTAGTCACTTTCTCTCTGTAAAATGGGTGAGATGGACCAGACGATTGCTGGTCCTTTAGCTCCCTGATGATTCTTGGTGCTTAAACCAACTTCTGTCTGAGACCAGCATTCCCCGAGAGAGAGATGGGAGGTTGAGTTACATGAGCAGGAACATATTTATCTTGGGAAACATCTACTGGGAGAACTTGCAGGGCTGAATGATGGTCAGGAGGCTGGTGGGACAAATGACCACTAGACTACAGTCAGAAGTGACAGGAAGACAGATTTAAGCTAAATAGGAAGAATGCTTTAGCAGTTAAAGCTACCTGGAATGCTCTGTGGAAAATAACAAAAGGAAATGTATTAGGGGACAAAATGGAAAGCCTGCATTTGGCTTCAGAAATTCCAAGGTGCCTTCTGGGTTAACAGTAGTTCACGTGAAAACACCCCTAAGGATTTCAGGTGCCTACAAATTCTAAATGAAAGCAGAGTAATGAGGCTGCCATGAGACCTATGTGGCCTTGGCTTGTATGAACAGGACAATACCCGTGACCAGCCCCCATCCCTCCCATTTGACAGGAGAATTTCCTGCCTAGAGGGAAGGACACAGGATAGTGAAGGGACCAGGGCCATTTAGCAAAGTAAACACTGGGGAAGCAGAGTGTTGGAGTGGGGGAATTGAGAGCTGTTTTCAAAGATCTGAATTTGTCTAGGCAATTACAGAGGTCAGAGTCAGGGCGGCAGTTTTTAGCACAATATAAAAAAGGACTTTCTAATAATTAGGACTTCTGAAAAATGAAACAAGACTGCCTTACAAAGAACTAAGCACTTGGTCACAGGGGCTGTTCAACCAGTGTTCAGCCAGTGGCCACCTGACCAGAGTGCCACAGAGGAGTGGCCGCAAGGGGTGGGAGGTTGGTCTAGGTGACACCTGAAAGCCTTTCCAGTTCTAGGTTGATACATGTCTCTTATGAAAGACATATGAGCTGATCACCTGCTACCAGGTGAGGTAAAGTACAAGGAAGAAAGTGACTCAACTTTCCGGGGTGCACATTTGGGCTGCTGCAGAATCCAGAAAGCTCCCTGGCTCTCCAGACATTCAGATGCCTGGGCCTCTTGAGCACCAGCACCTCCCTCTGCCCCACCCCCAGCCCCAGCTCACCGGGAGATGGCGAAGAGACCAGTGAGCAGAGGGAGCAGTTTGAGGGTGTCTTGGGGCAGGTAGGTGGAAAGCACGGCCAGGTTGAAGAAGTAGAGGATGAAGAGCTGGACTGACTGGGCCACGTATCGCCGGTGGATCTCCACCTCCCGTCGTGGCTCCCCAAAGGGCCGCAGGGCAGAAAAGCACAACAGGCTCAGCCCGTACACCAGGATCCCTGGGTAGGGTTGGAGGACACATGGGGTCAGGAGAGGAGCGGCAGGCAGGAAGCTGGAGGCAGGGTTTGTAGCAGAGAGCTCATGGGCATGGGCTCTGCACCGTGGGTGGGGCTGAGGTGGTCCTGGGAGGAGGTGGGCACACGGGGGTGACAGGGTGTGGGAGGCCCTGAGGGTCCAGGTCTAGTGAAGGGAAACTCCCCTGCTCCCCAAGCCAGGCAGGCCCTGCCCTCCAGCCGAGCTCCCACATGCCCCCTCCCTTCTTGCAGGGCCCAGGCTCACCCAGTACGATGGGGAAGGTGGCAAAGACCCCGCAGCGCAGCGTGTAGATGAGGCGGGAACTCATGGTCGGCAGGCGCGGGGCATCGAAGGGCAGGAAGGCATATGCCCCATAGAGCAGGCAGGGGAAGAGGATGAGGGCGGCTCCCACCGAGGCCATGGCCCTCAGCCCCTCGTGGCCTCCACGTCCCCTGCAGCACCCACAGGAGTACCCAGGCGGCCTCACCACTGCCTCGGCCCACTTGCGCTCTGGGGGCTCAGGGTGGGTGGCCCGGGTGGGCAGGAAGGTCTGGCGGCGCTCACCCTCGCTGGCCTCACAGCACACAATGAGGTCTTCCTGGGGCCGCCGCTCAATGCACTGTAGGTCGATGGGCACGAAGGCCCGGGCCACCTTCTCGGGCAGCAGGCTGGCGTCATCTTCGGGCAACTCCTCTAGCTTGGTGGGTGGCTCTGACTTAAGGGGCTCAGGCTCAATGTTCCTCCAGCCAGGGGGATCTGAGAACGGGGCACTGGGCTGGGGGCCAGTCCCCCAGGGCAAGGTGGCAGCCTCACTTACTGTGCTGTCTAGACCATCCTCCGTCCCCTCTCCGGCTGTGGGAGACCCAGCTGAAGATCCCGCTCTGGAGGACTCAGCTCCAGGGGACTCAACCCCATCTTCCCCTTCCAGCTTCCGGCCATTGGGGACCAAAGCCTGGGGTGGGCTCTTCTCCAGGGCCTCCGGCCCCTTCACTTCCAGCAGGGCCAGGGTCTCGGGTTCTGT